GCTCATTGCCCATGCATCGCCTTCCATCGAATTTGTCTGATAAAAAATTTTAGAGTACAATGTCTTACTTTACTTTTTACTAGCTTCTTTCTGCTCATTTCGTATAAGAGTGGAATGAAGATACTTTGGGGTCGTTTCATTAATTTTAACTGTTTTTTGTGGTTAATCAAACAGGTTTTAACACAGACAGTGCAAGACCAAATATAACACTCCTAAATAAATTCTTCAGTTGTTACTTTTGCAGTTTCTTTTATTTTTCTGACTAATTGGCAGAAGAAGATTTATTTTAATGAATTTGGAAAGACTGACCTTAAAAGATTAGTATTTTTTAGTGGTGATTAAATTAATTTGACTTAAAAAATTTTGCTGGAGGGAAAAGCTAGTAAAAATTGGATGCAAATCTTGGAAAAGATTATCTTAATAATTTACCTGTTTGTTGGGTTGGCACTGAGCAGCATTAGTTTCTTTGCTAAACAAGTCAAAACCTTCGTTCTTCACTTCAGTGACCATTTGTTGACTTGGCCAGTTGACAGCTACATCGCGTCCAGTCCACTGGTTGAGAATTCTTGGCCACTGATTTGCGCTTCTGGGCCAGATGCCGTTACAGCGAAAAGCACAAGTAATTTGCACAGTATATTTATCTTGTATCCGAAGCTTGACGTCGGTAGTATCTGTCATCAGCTTACAGATGTCACGGTACTGCGATTTCTCGATGGACTGTCCAACTAGAGCTTGAAAACGACTTCGGATTTTTCTAGCAGACAAATAGCCACTAGCCGTAATAAATTCAACCCACAATGACATTGATCGTTTTCTTCCATCACTGAGTTTAAGTACGGCACAACCAGGTATAGATCCATCGTCAACAAAATTAAAAACACCCATTTGATTAAGATACAATATCACCTCGTATTCAGATGGTGAGTGTACCATTATCTGTAAATCTTGTGCCGGATAACTTCTCAAATTAAGTAAATATGAAAGCCTTAACTTTTTATATATCTTTATATAACTTTTCAAATCTAAAATTTTTTTATTTTGATATTACGGTGACAGTTTTATAAAATCTAAATGACTTACCCCTTCATAGCGGCCATTTTGTTCAACTAAAGTTGAAATAAATCGAGGCTCAAGAGCTTCAACATCTTTAAGTATTTCCTGCACAATTTTGGCAATTATGTGAACCGATTTATGTACATGGCTTTTACGTACTCCAACTCGATCATTGTAGTACTGATTGATTTGGTATGAAGTGGCTGCGGTATTTTGACCCAACATTCAAGCACATTGATTTCTTACAATAGTGCACCTGACAGGGAAACGAAGAGCATCGACGTCATGGAGTTGCGAATAGTGGAAGTCCGACGGGGATCAAAAATGTGGCCCACTGGCCATCGAATCTTTGGAAATATTAAGCTTTTGGGAGTAGTGGCAAGTCAAGGTTTTGAGTAGCACCGCTCAAAGCACTATCAATCAGGCAATGGTGGCTGATGTTTTTGCCCTCTTCAACATCACACCAGTTTGCCTCTTACTCTTTATCTTCGTCTCTGTGTTCCATGCCGTTTTCGCTGGCAGAACACAGAACGGGCTCCGCCCTAAGGCTCATTTACCTGTTAAATAATGCATTTTGGGCTGCCTACCCTGGTTGCCTGGCTGGTTGTTGCCCTTGGCTTTTGGCAACCGTATCGTGCTGCTGATGCCGAAACGTTTTGAGTTTTCGGAGGTTGCGATTGCACAATGGGGATACTGCAATGACAGTTTGATTGCTTTTAACTTAATGAAGTTTGACAGTCGCGGTAGTTCTCTCTGTCTCATGTCCATCTTGTTTGTGTCAGATTTTCAGTTTGATAAAATATGCTGCACTTCTGGTATACAACTTATAAACTGTAACAGTGCCGTCCTCAAATGTGTCACTGTATTAACCTTGATACTGATTTGGTTGTTCCTCGAGTTTATTTTTTGGTTCAGAAATATGATATACTTATGTATAATTTTTAATCTTTTAGAATCGATAATAATTGTTGTTTTGAACGAGTAGTTAGATGGTTTTGGCCAGCAGTGATTCTAAACATGTTTATTAGCGGACAAGTGTTGTTTTATTAAGGGGGTCTTGAAGGGGAGTTAACTTGGGAGCAATTTGTCATCTGGCGTTTCATCGCCAAGAAATGTTATGTCATTGATCGTTCATTAAATTTATAAATTATCACTTTTCTACTGTATTGATTGATGTATTAAACAACCACCATTTACTTCAACATTAAGCTACATTACAACTTTTCGAAGGATTTTTAAACTTTTTTTGAAAATATTTTGCTGATCTTTGCAGAATTCTGCATTTAAAATTGCTAAATAATCTTAGCAAAGCAGTAGATCGATTTGTAAAACGCTAGCAGAAACCGTAAAGAATGCGGAGGAAAGTTTTCCTGTACGATATACAGTTGTTTTTCTTTTAGATAATTATTTTTGAACAAATTGTAAATTTTAGTTTTTAAAAGAAATAGTTCTACAATGATACTTGTGTATTTGGTAGAACTCTGCATTTAGTTGTCTGCTGTTTTTGTTCTTGTTGATGAGGATGGACGATGAAACGACGTAATATGAAACCTTCAAGACCGTAATCCATATAAACAGATTTGGAAAATTATGGGCTTATAACCCAAAAATCTAGTCCAATGAGTTCGAATGAATTTGAAAAAAAATTTAACGCTCCACTGATTCTCCATGCCTAAATAAATTTTTACGCTGATTTTGTTTCACTGACTTTTGGAGACAAAGGCTTAGTTAGTGTATTTTTTGAAGAGCTTCAAAAAGTAAAAGAAAAAAATTAATTTTTTCCTTTATAGTTTTTTGAATGCTTTTTGTTATCAATCAGACTTCCCCGTTGTCTGATTTTTGTTTAGCTGCAGATCAGTTTTTTAAATAGCTATTTTTGATTTTTGACATGTGAAAAAAGTAATGCGAGTAAAGCCGTATTGGTCTTACTTTTTGTTTAGTGATTCTTTTTTCTAAAAAACTTTTATTGTTTAGTTATGATAACAAAATAAGGTGAAAATATTTCCTTTATTTATAGTAAATATTCCAGTTGTTTTTCTGGTAGTGATGATTTTTTGATTTTGCTTTTACTAAAGAAAATGACAAAGAATGTATGAGTGTTTGTTCTGATGTAACCCCTCCTTCTTTTCGTTTTATCTATGCAAAAGGAAAATGAAAGCTCTATTTATTTTTTGGGCTTCAAAAATGCGTGTAGAATCAGAAGCATTTACAATGATATTGAAGAGGGAGGGCAAGAGAAATAGGAGAAGTCAAAGTTGAGAAGCACAGTTGGCTTTTATCTATACCGTAATCTAGACGTTGGCTCAGAAAGACCGTTTTAAATATATTTATGCGTCTAAAGGGCCTATGACTGAAGAGAGTGCAAAAATTTATTGCAGCAGTTGGTCATTTTTTAAGTAGTGAAGAGCAGAAAGAAAAAAAAAAATTTCGCCACTAGAGAAACTGCGGCGAAGAGCATAACGTTGTGCGTTAATTAGGGCATTACAAATGATGGATGACTAGTGAGATTTTGTTGACAACCGTATTAGTGGCTCAGGGTTCATTACTCTGTTTGTCAGCGACATCTTCCTTAATTTGCTGCTTCATTTTGTTTCATTTTTTCATATGTATAGGCATATACTCACTGTTGTTGCTACAAAAACATTTTTATTTTTGAAGTTTCTCCACCAAATACTGATTCACTAGACTGAGTAGTCCAAAATAATTTGAGCATTCAAAATGTCAGAAACAGAGTTTATTGCTATTATATATATATATATATATATATATATATATATAT